TTGATTCATTTAAATTATTTTATGAGGCCCTGATCTACATGATGCTATCAATGAAATTTGTAAAGAGAAGGTTAGAGTGAGAAAAACACAGGAATGGGATGAGATATGTTGGGAGAGAGTACATCTTTTAGTAGGGGAAAGATGGATTATCCTAAGCAGCAGGAAGATCAGAATCATGTGCCACTGAAGCAAAGAAAAGAGTTTCTTGAAAGAGGGGCTGGTTAAGTTTGAATGTTTCAAAAAGATAAAAACTAGTAACAACTAAGAAAAGAAGTTGGTGTGCAAGACATAACTGGGTGACTTTAAAAGGCAGTTTTAGTTACAGTGTGGGAGACAGAAGCCAAATTCCATAGTGTTCCTGAAATAAATTGGAGATGGTATAAAGTAAGTTTCACAGCACCCCTCCCCACTCCCCAAGTTTGGCAATTAAGAGAAGCTATTGAAATCAAGGGAAGATGTCTTAAGATAGGAAAGACCCGTGTATATTTGTAGATAATGGTGTAATACTGTTACAATAATCAGTTCACTTTAGTGTTAGGGACAATATAATGGCCCCAAAGGTCCTTGAGGTACTCTCCTCTTTGGCTTCAGGGAATTATTTTATTTTATTTTATTTTATTTTAAGGTTCAGAAAGGACTTTTAAAAAAAATTTTTAATTAATTTACTTTGATTTATCAACAATCACTTCCATATGCTTTTAAGTTTAAAATTTTTCTCCCTGTCCCTCCCCACCACCCTCCCCAAGACGGCACACAATCTGATACAGGCTATACATATACATTCCTATTAAACATATTTTCACATTAGTGATGTTGTAAGTAAGAATTAGAACCAACAGGAGGAACCACCAGAAACAGGAAACAAAACAGAAGAAAAAAATAGCAAATAGTATGCTTCAATCTGCATTCAAACTCCATAGTTCTTTCTTCTTTATGGATAACATTTTCCATCACAAGGCCTTTGGAGATGTCTTAGATCCTTGTATTGTGGAGAAGGGTTAAGTCTATCAAAGTTAGTCATCGCACAATGTGGCTGTTACTGTGTACGACATTCTCCTGGGTCTGCTCACTTCACTCAGCATGAGACCATACAAGTCTTTCCAGGTTTTCCTGAAGTCAGCCTGTTCATCATTTCTTATAGCACAATAGTATTCCATTACATTCACATACCACAACTTGTTCAGCCATTCCCCAATTGATGGGCATCCCTTCAATTTCCAATTCTTTGCCACCACAGAAAGAGCTGCTACAAATATTTTTGGACATGTGGGTCCTTTTCCCATTTGTATGATCTCTTTGGGATATAGCCCTAGAAGTGCTATTGCTGGGTCAAAGGGTATGCACATTTTTATAGCCCTTTGGGCATAGTTCCAAATTGTTCTTCAAAATTTCACAACTCCACCAACAATCCATTAGTGTTCCAATTTTCCCACATCTTCTCCAACATTTATCATTTTCCTGTTGTGTCATCTTGGCCAATCTGATAGGTGTGATGTGGTACCTCAGAGTTGTTTTGATTTGCATTTCTCTAATCAAGAGAGATTTAGAGCATTTTTTCATATGACTATAGATGGCTTTAATTTCTTCATCTGAGAATTGCCTGTTCATATCTTTTGACCATTTATCAACTGGGGAATGACTTGTATTCTTATAAATTTGACTTAATTCTCTATATATTTTAGAAATGAGGCCCTTATCAGAGAGACTGGTTGCAAAAATTCTTTCCCAATTTTCTATTTTCCTTCTAATCTTGGTTGCATTGGCTTTGTTTGTGCAAAAACTTCTCCCTCTCTCAGTTTGCTTACAGTATTAAGTCTTTATATCTAAATCATGAACCCATTTTGACTTTATTTTGGTATATGGTGTGAGATTTTGATCTATGCCTAGTTTCTGCCATATTCTTTTCCAGTTTTCCCAGCAGTTTTTGTCAAAGAGTGGGTTCTTATCCCAGAAGCTGGGGTCTTTGGGTTTATCAAATAATAGATTACTACAATCATTGACTACTGTGTCTTGCATAATTAACCTATTCCACTGATTTACCACTCTATTTCTTAGCCAGTACCAAGCAGTTTTGATGATTGCTGCTTTATAATACAATTTAAGATCTGGAACGGCTAGGCCACCTTCCTCCGGCATTTCTTTTCATTAGTTCCCTTGATATTCTGGATCTTTTGTTCTTCCAGATGAATCTTGTTATTATTTTTTCTAACTCTATAAAATAATTTTTTGGTAGTTTGATTGGTATGGCACTGAATAAGTAAATTAGCTTAGGTAGAATCGTCATTTTTATTATATTAGCTTGGCCTACCCACGAGCAACTGATGTTTTTCCAATTATTTAGATCTCACTCATTTGTGTGCAAAGTGTCTTGTAATTATGTTCATATAGTTCCTGGGGTTGTTTCGGGATGTAGACTCCCAAATATTTTTCGGGGAATTATTTTAGATGAACAACTATAAGTTTAATCACAGTTGCTCCTAGTAAAGAAGGTTCCTAACATTTAGGCAAAGATTGGGCACTCTCCCTAAATTTACACTTAAATCTACCTCTCATTAATCTCTGACCTCTTCATGGTTGCATCAAAAAAAATTTACTGTAACCATTTGGGTAATGAAACAGCACATTATACTACAGTATCTGTAGACAGACAGCAACTTGGAGGGAGTTTCCCTGTGAGTCCTCTTGGCCCGGGTCTTCTATTCTGAAATGTCTGCAGAGCCAATTGCCTTCTCTGTCTCTCTTCCATGACACAGCTCATTTCTACCTTTGCTCTTCAGTAGTGTGCTGCAATTGCTCAAACTTTCCAATTCCAGCTAACTCAATGCTTTTAATACATGACTCAGAGAATGCTGAAAAAAATCCTAGTCCAGACTTCTTGTCTAGTTTCATTTCACTTCATTAAATGTCTTTCACATACTTCATCTAAGGTCTATGAGAGAGACTCATTAATTGGTCATCTTATCATTTATTTTAAGTGGTTCAAATCCAGCCTAAGTGTGAAGAAAGGATAATAGATGAAAGCCCTGGGAGATGAAGAGACAGAATGAAGAACTGGGGGGGTGGGGGGGGCAGCGTATCCTTGGAGAGGAGGAAGAACACTTCTTTCTCCAAGAAAGGAGGCTGTGGAGAAAAAAGTGAAGATAAATTAAATTTTTGAGGTGGTGAGGTTGATGTGGCTGAATTATGTGATCCTTCAAAGCCACAGGAAGTCTGATTTTCACAGAATTATAGAAATCTACAACTGGAAGGGATTTAGTCTCTCATTTGATAGATAAGGAAGCTTTCCTAATCTATTAAAGAATAGTTGGCTATGCAAAGTAGCCAGACAATCTTCATCATGTTTGAAGGATACCAGATTCAACCCACACCAGTACTGAGTCTCCTCTACAACAACCCCAATCACTGGTCATTTAGCCTTTGATTGAAGAACTCCAGGAAGGGTGACACTACTTCCTAAGACAGTCTATTCAGCTTGGATAACTTTAATTGCCTTGAAGTTTTTCTTACTTCAGAAAAAATCTGCCTCAAGAGCTAACTTCTACCTAGTGCTCCTGGTTCTTCCCTCTGGTGCTAAACAGATCAAGTCAAATCTCTCTCTAAATACATGAAAACAGCTATCACAGCCCTCAGGTCTTCTTCAGGCTAAACAAGTCTAGATCCTTCAGCTAGTAAGTATCAAGTGTCTGAGGCTGGATTTGAAATCAGGTCCTCTTGACTCCAAGGTCAGAGCTCTATTCACTATGCCACCTAGCTGCCCCATCATCCCCATCATTGGAAAGTAATGTCAGACAGTTAAATGCATAAATACATTTGCATAAATGAAGATTTGCTCAAGGTCACATAGCTAGTATGTGGCTGAATCTGAACTCAGATCTTCCTGACTCCAGATCCAGTTCTTCTACAGTACCACCTAGCAGCCTACAGAACTCAACTACCACGTGTAATAAAGTTTCTGTGAAAAAACGTGTTCGGACTGCCAGCTAGAAATAACCTAACAATCAGTGTTGAGTGGATCTATGAACTGAGTCAAATGCTAGGGAAAACAATTTCAAATTATGTGCGAAAAATTATGAAACTGTTCATATCCCTTGACCATTAATGACTCTCTCATGTACTCCCAAGAGTAAACAGCAGACACAAAGGGCATTTTAAGATTTCCAAAGTGCTTTACATAAAGTATCTCATTTGTCCCTCAAAACCTCCCTGTGAGGTAGATATTAGAGGCTTCTTACACCTCTTTCCTTCACTGAGGAAACTGGAGCTGAAAGAGGATAGGACTTGTGTAGGATCCTACAGCTCAAGACCCCAAGTGGGCTCAGCCTTAGCTCTCACCTAATTCCAGTGAGGTTCCCTATCAAAGCTAAGCCTTTCATACAGCAGCATATGAAGAGAAATTAAAACTTGGTCTTAATCAAAAGGAAACAACCATTATGTCTAAATCCTGGACCAACACATACTTTCTACTAGGATAAAAGACAGACTCCTTGCCCATAGGTGACACAGCAAGCATTGTTTTAGTTCACTGTATTTCTTTGCAAAGATAGTGTAGTAACTCAGCATTATTTAAAATAGTAAAAGAGCAAGAGAAAATCGTGGTCACTAATGCAATATAGTTGCATTAAACTGGTAAGTAGCGCAATTTTTTTGCATTTTAGTCTATGTTATGAAAATAATAGCAAACAGCCAAATAATTTACAGAAGATGAAAGAAATTATTAATACCAAACCAGGCATGATGAATAAAAAGGTTTTGTTTTTTTTTTAAAAAAAAAAACCTTATGATTTAATAGAATTGAACTTAGTAGAATTTAGAGATGCTGTCCAGGCCCCTCATTTTACAGATGAGTAATCTAAAGACCAGCAAGAGAAAAGAAATGATTTGCCAAAGATCATACAACTAGTTAGTAGCAGAACTTAGTTACAAGAATCCAGGAATCTTAACTATGAGTTCACTGGTCTTTCTATCACACTCTTCATAGATTATTTTTTTTTCTCTTACAGAGAGCAATACAGAACTATATTTCATCAAGTTATATGAATAGAGAAAATGTAAGGATCATGACAAAGTCTACAGGTAGGAAAGCCAAATTTCCTAGAATCCCATTACTCCCAGCTTGTTTTTTACCTGATTATCTCTCAGCTAAGCAAGGTATAAAGTCAATGCAAAATCATGTGGGATAAAATTCTGGAGGAAGAATCACTGAACAAATTTATTGCACCAAAAGAAGTGAAAAAAGGGGCAGCTAGGTGGTGCCATGGTTAGAGCACCGGCCCTGAAGTCAGGAGGACCTGAGTTCAAATCCGGCCTCAGACCAAACACTTGACACTTACTAGCTGTATGATCCTGAGCAAGTCACTTAACCCCAATTGCCTCACTTAAAAAAAAAAAAAAGTGAAAAAAAATTGAATAGCAAAGAGGCCAAGAAGGAAAAGGGAAGTAAACAATGACTATTTTCAAAAACTTTTTAACACTTGTATTAAACTGAAGAAATCTGGAAATGAACTGATGGCCCCATCCTTCAAACTCCTCACTTACAAGAGAACAAAAGGAAAAAAGGGGCCTTATCTTAATTAACCCAATAAAAAATTATTAGAGAGTAAAGAATTAAAGGAAAGAAAAATTGTAAATATAATAATATTTCTTAGAATCTTTAAATAACTAGAACCCTCAACTGCATTCAAAATAGTGAGCTCTCAATGTACTTGAATGGATGTGAAAGGGTAACTCCCAGGGTTGAAAAATAAAATAAATAATAAACCAGGAAAAGGAGGTAAGGCAGTCATAGCAAGAAAAAGGAGCAAGTTAAGCGCTTCACCATATCCACACTAGAAGAATGCCTCACTCAGTCTGCAAGGAGGGGAACTAACAGCTCCCCAGGAAGCCCATTCCACTTTGGGCAGCTGCCAATGTTACTGTATCCTGACATCAAACCTAAATGTTCCTCTTTATAACTTCAATCTGCTGCTCCCGGTTCTGACCTCTTGGGCCAAGCACAACAAATCTACTCCCACCCCCTCCACGTGCCAGCCCTCAAATAACTGAACACAGCGATCTCGGCTCCCCTAATCTTCTCTTCTCCAGGCTTAACATGCCCATTTCCTCCTCTGCTATGACATGAACTTAAGACATGAACATCAAGCTGACTGCTCTCCTCTGCATACTCTACAACCTATCAGAGTCCTTCTTAAATTGAGGTACCCAGAATAAAACAATATACTCCAGAAGAGGCCTGACACATACCTTATCTCCCCAACTAGACTAAAAGTTCCTTCTGGCCAAGGGACCATGTCTTTTATTTCTTTTGTTGGTCCCCTTATCACCTAGCACAGCACTCTCTGTACATGATAAGTCAATAAATACATTCAGTGAATAAGCTTAAATATTACACAATGAGGAATGCTGCAAGAAGGTCCTAATCATTTAAGTCATTTCTCCAACCTTTGAGTGAGGACAAACTTACAATACTGAAGAAAAAAAAAGTCCTTGGTATATCCTGGCTTACTGAGGTTTCTTCATTTCCCTTTGCCAAATTTTGATGTATCAGTGACTGGGGAAGGTTGAGAAACAATGGCTTATTTATCTAGTGGAAAGAGTAACAAGATCAGAGGTGTGAGACCTGGATTCTGGTCTTAGAGCAGGCACCCACAAAATCTTTGAGGTAAGTCATTTATTTCTCTAGTTTTCTCTATGCGTGAAATTGAATTAAAATAGTAACAGTACTTTTCCTATCCAAAAGTCATGTTGTGAAAACAAATGAGGTAATATATACTATATATGAATATGTCTAATTAGGAAAGGTGCTACAATTCAAAGTATTTATCTTCATTAAGCCTGCTTGAAACATTTGAGATCATACTGAAACTTATTTGCAAGATCTTACAAATTCTTAATCTAAGAAACGCTACCCTGGTGCATTAGCATCCTTCCATCTTTTTATTCTTAAAAGCCATTTTTAAACTATAAAACACTCAATATAAAAGTTTTTTTTTAACTAAGTAAATAAAAAGTTTACAAAGATGAGCCAAGGAAGTTGAAGCTCACCAACCTCCAAAAGTGGAGACCAGAGCCTCTGGGATTAGTACAGACAGCCTGATCGACAAAGCTAGTTTCTGGGATGGAGTGAACTCCTGATGGTGGGGAGAGAACAGGGTAGAGAGGGATGGGGATCAGAAGGGATAAGACTGAACTTGAAGGAAAAAAGGGATGGTGACTGCCTGAGGGTTTCTGAGGGAGGGATGTACTCACTGCGGCTGGGCCAGTCAGGCTTTAGAAAGGCCCTAATGGAAAGATGGGAACAGGATAGGGTCAGCTTGAGGCCTAGCTTGAGGAGTTGCTAAGATGGATGATATGGCCAGGGTTTGTTTGACTAGGGAAGAGATGGGGCCTCTATTCAAGGAGCTAAAATCAGGATGGGGCTGGGTAGAAACTAAATGAAGAATGGATAGGACTGGTGGAGACACTGAAAAAGAGAGAAAGGAACAGGACAGGAAAGTCACAGAGAGGAATGGTAGAGATTTCTGAGGAAGGGATTGGGACTTGATTTGGATGGAAGGCACGGAGAAGGATCTATGGAGGGATCAGGAGGAAAGATAAGGATCTAAAGGAGTTCAGGACAGGATGGTGCCTGATCAAGGGAACAGTGGCCATGAGGGACAAATGGGCCTGGGACCTGGGAGAAACTGTCAGATTGTTAGGGGTGGAGGATGCAGAGGGAGAAACGGGTCTGAGGGAGAGGATGGAGCTAAAATCTGGAGAGAGGAGGGAAGAATTCAGGAAAGAAGGAAAGCACTGGAAGGGATGGAGTCAGATTTTGGAGATGAGACCCTGTGAGAACGAGAGGGTTGAGTTCTGGGAGGGACCGAGTCTGGATATGAAAGGATGGGACCTTAGAGACGGATGGGGCTTGGACTTGAAGTGAAGGGAGAAGCAGGGAAAGGCATGAAGGTAAGGGACTAGGCCTTGAAGGGCTCTCATGCAGGACTGGGAGGGGAGGGCTCAGGTAGGGACAGGGCTTGGGAGGAGGGAGGGGGGGAGGAATGGCATTGGGGGAGGAGCTCAGGGAGGGATGGGGGAGGGGGCAGATCAATAGGGAATAAGGCTGGGACCGGGAGATTCTACAGGGGACGAAGCCTAGAGGGGGCATGGGAGGGGGGGCTGGGGCTAGGTGGGGACAGGCCCTAGAGAGGATGAGGCCGGAGGGGGAAAGGGCCCAGGTGGAGATGAGGACGGAACCCAGGGGAGAGGAGGGCTCTGGAGATGAGGCTGAGGAATGGAGAAGGGAGGACTCGGGAGGGGTTGGAGGGGCTCAGGAAAGGGTAGGGGTATGCTCAGACAAGGATGGGGCTGGTACTTGGTGCGGGCGAAGACTCAGGAGGAGATGGAGGGGCCGTGGGATGCCCTCAGGCCGGGAGATCAGGGGGATTGGGAGTGGGGGGAGAGGATGGGGGGATGCTCAGACAGGGATTGGGCTGGAAAGGGGATGGGGGAAGGTAGAGGGCTCAGGAGAAGCTGGGGGACGCCCTCAGGCCAGGAGCTCAGGAGAGAATGGGGGAGGGGCTGGGGGAAGGGATGCTTAGACTGGGATGGGGCCGGGCCGGGGGGGGGGCGCGGCACCCCCCCAGGGGGGGGGCCGGGGGGGGGGGGGAGGGGGATTCTCAGACCAGGATGGGGCCGAGACTGGAGGGAAGGTTCAGTAAAGGAGCGGGGCTCAGGAGAGAATGGGGGAGGGGAGGAGGAGGGCGGGGACCAGAGGAAGGCTCGGCAGAGGATGGAGGGAGCTGGGGAGGGGGCGCCCTCAGACCAGGAGCTGGGGGGGGTGGAGAGGGGGATTGGAGGTAGGGGATCGGGGGGGGGG